CGAGGTATGGCTATTTCACCCCCACGGCATTGACAAAAGGGGTTGTCTACTTAATACCGTGAGCACAGCGGGCTGCCGGCCTCGACTCAATGATGATCCCTAATGCAGTAGAACACGTAGCTCTGTTTCACACGCCAAAACCAAGGCTGCTGCGCCCCCCTCTTCAGACGCGGTGGCCAAGGAGATGACAGCAACCGGTCCTCGGCCTCGCCTAGGTCGACTCAGCCTCAAATGAGTACCTGGTGCGGTGTGTAAAAAGATCGCCACTGGTGGTCGGGCGTGGTGCTGGCGACTCACCACCTCGTGTGCCGTGTCGGCCTTCAGCTGCTCGATAACAGCACGTGCCCCAACAGTCTGTTAAGTGCTATGCAGGGGATATTTGTCTTTGTGTGTGTTCGTGGCGTCGGTGGCGTAGTGGTTAGCGCATTGCGCTGCAAACATGTTTACAGACTGTATGGACCAAGCACTGATTATAGACTGTACGGTCCGAGCACTGTTTTTAGTACGGACAGGGTACTGTTTATAGACTCTACGAACCGAGTACTGTTTATAGACTTATGAACCAAGTCACGTTTATTGACTGTACAAACCGAGCACTGTTTATAGACTGTACGGACCGAGTACTGTACTGTCTATACATTGTATGGGTCCATTATTATAAACTCTATGGACCGAGTACTGTTAATAGACTGTAAGGGCTGAGTACTGTTAATAGACTGTAAGGGCTGAGTACTGTTTATAGACTGTAAGGGCTGAGTACTGTTTATAGACTGTAAGGGCTGAGTACCGTTTATAGACTGCATGAACCGAGCGCTATTTATAGACTGACTTTACGGAGGGAGGACTATGCTCTTTTCACTGACAAAGTATAATCTGTATAGATTGAGTACTGTAATTGACGGAGTACTGTTTATATACTGTATTGACTGCATAGGCTGTATGGGTTGAGTACTGTTATCGACTGTATTGACAAAGTAGTTTTATAGATTCGTATTTACTGAGTAGTATTTACTGACCACTGCTTGCACTGAATGTCGCAACCGGTCTAGTTTTACATTAAAACAAATGCAGAATGAACGAATTTGAATTAACAATTGCTGCGGAAATTACGCACTCCGCAGAAGGCCTTGTTTCTGATGGGATGTGTTTAAAAAAATACTTCAATATGTTTTAGTGGGGGGGGGGGCGGATCAAGGACAGGAGGCGGTAAATCGTCAGCTTCGTTACGTTGCCATTTAAAGAGACGCGTGGACGTTGCTAGGCAACCACGCTTCTCTTTAAAAACCCCGTCGTCACTGTGACGTCATCTCCAGCTGGAGCAGTGGAATGGGCGAGTCCATTAGCGCACCCGACGGGAGGGCAAAACCAGAAACACTTTGCCATGATAACATAAATACTGAAATATTTTAAACAGTTTTTTTTTTATATCAGCACTTAATACAACCCTATACGTTAAGAAGAACATATTAATAGTGTAATTAAAGGATTAATTTGAGTAATTTTAAATGAAAGTCAATATTTACCCCCATTTTCTTAACCGAGTGGTACGACTCGGGGCATCGTGGCAACAGGTCCCTCTCGGAGTTCATAGTGACGTCCGCACTTATTTATATTAAAATTTACCTCGATTGACGTCATTGAATGACGTCATCCCCTGATGTGCTTCAATTGCCGCATAGATAAGCAGCCAATCTATCTCCTTCAAACATCTGCCAATCCAAATAAAACAAAAGTAATTTTCGCATATCCCATCAGCCACACCGGATCTTCTGAGTGAATAATAAAAAAAAACAGTATTGGTTTAACACAAGTAAAAAACACTGAAGCGGCTTCGACCATTCAGCACCGCATCATTGAGAGATAAGAAAAAATCACAACACATTCGTCAATAAACAACGCCGGGGGTGTGGTCTTAAAAGGGGATATATAATAGGCAACGTTTAGGGCAATGACCCTCATTCATAGCACATCAGTTGTTTCGATGTTGAGTTATTTTAGTTTAATGTTGTTAGTGCACCAGCACCGCTAACGTTCTGCAGCATAGTCCCATGACACGCCCTGTTGTGACGTCATCCGGAAGCATTCGTTGGCATGACGCAATTTTCACGTAGTGTAACGACACATCAAAGCGTTGACGCGACGTCACCAACTTCAATTCCGTTCGGATTTGCATGGCGTTTTGCGGATTGACATGATGTCTTCCAGCGGTCGACGGCACTACGCCTACACTCTCTGGTTCTTTCGGTATAGTCACGAAAGCTTCAAATCAAGATTGACACTACGCCTTTTAGCACAAAATTCCCATACGTCATTTCCGATCTCTACGGGATTCTGTTCAGGCACGTCGCTGCCGGGGGGTGGGGGGATGACGCAATTCATCTCAGAATTTGCTAGTGACGTATTATATCTGGGGGGGCGGAGCTGGGGGGGGGAGCTTATGTGTGAATGACGAACGTCAACCGACGACACGAGTGACGTCACGTAATAAAATCTGGCATCCGTCCTCTGGCCCATCACTTCGTGTGAGTGAAGAATTGGGAGAGTGAGGCAAGGTGAGCGAGGCGAGTGACGTCATGTAATAAAATCTGGCTTACGTCATACAGAAACAACCGCCTGATACTCTTTGGTTCTATTGGGTAAAGTCACGTAGGTGAAAATAAAATAACAAAAAAATCACGACGTTTCGGCCACAACACAAGCGGCCTTCATCAGGTGAAGGGACGAGCCTGTCTGGAGAACAGCGCTGGAGTGGAAGAAGCCACGCTTAGATCACGACATTTAAGCTGCGTGAGAAGAAGAAGACCACGGGCTTTGACAAAGGAATTAGCATATAATTTAGCATTGAAATGGCTCATTGAAATAGCTAAGTTAAAGTATACACATCCGCAGAGGTGCCCCTTGACAAAGGAATTAGCATCGAATTTAGCATTGAAATAGCTGAGTGATTAGCTTGTAATTGGTCACAGAAATAGCTATGTTAAAGTCAGAGTATATACATTCACCGAGGCACCTAGTACTCATCAAACAGGAGAATTTAGCGAAACACAACCACGCTCAGACATCGGACCTGTGTGCGAGCCTACAAGGTGTTCTGACAAAGAGATTAGCATAAAAATTAGCATTTGATTGGCGGATTTTAGGAAAGAGGTGGTGTACGTGCCGGTGGACTCGCAGTTTGGCGCGGGGGGGGAAGGGGGGAGGGGGATTTTACCTATTGATGGTGTTAAAATGGGAATTTATAAGAGCTGCGAAAGTTTGGGGTACCACTACTCGAAAAACATACTGTACCATTGAAATTAGTTTAATGTTTAGTTCGATTTAGAACATCTTTCCAATGGTTGCTTAATTTGAAACCATCCTCTCGGTTGAAATTGTGTCTGTGTTTGTAGATCTGAATTGCTTCATGAACAAATCTCTGATAAAAGCCCGTGGGTTTGCAAAGAACCTTGGTATCAGAAAAAAATATATCGTGATCCCCCACAGCATTGTAACAGTGATCAGCCATGGCAGAAGAATTCGTTTTGCCGTGTTTCAAATCTGATTTGTGCTCGCGAATTCGGTCAGAGACATGTCGCTTTGTCTCACCGATGTAGCAATCACCGCAGGTACAACTCAATTTGTAAACCCCGGGGTACTGTAAATCAGGAATGACATCCTTCACGGATGGGATCAGATCACGAATTTGTGTACTGTATTGAACCGGACCTGGATCTTGTGTTTGTTTAGAATTTTGGAAATCTTTTTAGTAACGCCTGCTATATATGGAAGTGTGATAGTTTTGACCGGAGTATCAAGTGGTTGTTTCTGTATGGAGGGAGAGACAGCTTGGCGGATGGTACGGTCAGAGTAACCATTCCTTTTGAGGGCCAGGTGTACATGTTTTAATTCACTGGTCAGGTGGTGTTGGTCCGAAATGCAATGAGCCCTATGGTATAAAGTTTTGATGAGAGAATTATTTTGGGCTGGGTGGTGGTGGGAATCAGGTTTCAAGTAGGAATCTGTGTGGGTGGGTTTCCTGTAGACAGAATGCCCCAATGAACCATCAGGTCTCCTCTCAAACAGAACATCTAAGAATGGTAGCTTGCCATCTTTCTCCACTTCCATGGTGAATTTGATGGCGGGATGTCTGGAATTGATGTGGTGTAGGAAAAGGTTCAGAGCTGGGAGGCCATGTGGCCAAATGACGAAAGTGTCATCCACATATCTCTTCCACAGGGAAGGTCTGAGGGTGGAAGTCTGGATGGCGTCTGATTCAAATTTCTCCATGAAAATATTGGCTATCACTGGTGACAAGGGGGAACCCATGGGGGTACCCTCATTTTGTTTGTAGAAGGTCCCATTCCAAGTAAAGTAGGTATTGTTGAGGCAGTGCCTAACGGAACAAAACCATCACACTACCATATATAGCAGGCGTTACTAAAAAGATCTCAAAAATTCTAAACAAACACAAGATCCTGGTCCGGTTCAATACAGTACACGAAATCCGTGACCTGATCTCTTCCGTGAAGGATGTCATTCCTGACTTACAGTACCCCGGAGTTTACAGATTGATCTGCACCTGCGGTGATTGCTATATCGGGGAGACGAAGCGACATGTCTCTGACCGAATTCGCGAGCACAAATCAGATTTGAAACACGGCAGAACGAATTCTTCTGCCGTGGCTGATGACTATTGCAACGTTGTGAGTGATCACGATATAGCCCTCTCCGATACCAAGGTTCAGTTTAAACCCACGGGTTTCTATCAGAGATTTGTTCACGAGGCAATTCAGATTTACAAACACAGACACAATTTCAACCGAGAAGATGGCTTCAAATTAAGCAACCATTGGAAAGATGTTCTAAATCGAACCAAACGCTAAAGGAATTTTTAATGGTACAGTATGTTCATTCAATCAGTGGCATCCCAAACTCTCACGGTGGTGCTAATGTATTTTTGATTCTATTTGCGAGCTTGAACAGCTTTACATTTTATGCTAATTCCTTTGTCAAGGCGTCTTTTCTGTTTACACACCCACAGCTTAAAGGAGGCGACCTGCGCTTGACTTTTTATCACTCCAACGCCGTCCTATGGACAGGTTGGCCCCTTCACCTGCTGAAGGCCACTTGTGTTGTGGCCGAAACGTCGTGATTTTTGTTTATTTTTTCACCTACGTGACTTTACCGAATAGAACCAAAGTGTATGGTTACGTCATCTTCCCAATCACTTGGCGTGGATTGGAGAAAGCCAGAGGGAAGTAGTGAGTGAGCGAGGCGAGTGACGTCATGTAATTCAACGGTGACAACGTCATCTGCTCTCCGTGCGAAGGAGGAGTGGGCGGGGGGGTTGGTGTAGAGGGCAGTGCGAGTGGAGTGGTGAGCGGAGTGGTGAGCGGAGCGGTCGCGTTAGCGCGCGGCTCCGAGGACGATCAGCAAGGAGGGACGAGGGGCGATGGCGGCGCCGCGCAGGACCAAGCAGCAGAGGGACGAGGCGGCGGAGGACGAGTGGACGGCGCGCCACGGGGGGGGTGCCGCGTTGATCCCGGGCCCAGGGGCCCTGCGACCCGTGGGCCCTGGCGCCAGGCGCTCCGTGCTGCTCGTCAAGCTCACGGACTCGGCGCTGAGGGTCTTGGAGGCGGCGCCCGGCCAGCGGGTGAGTGGCGGGGAAGGAGAAGCGACTCGCTTGAAAGTTGTCTACGTGTGTGTTGTTGTTGTGTGTGTGTGAACCTAGCCTGGCACAGGTCACTCTGGTGTCGTCGTGGTTGTTGTGGTTGTTGTTGCCGTGTGGGTACGTGCGTGTGTGTGTGTATTATAAAGGTGCACTTAGCCTGGCACAAATCGCTCTGGTGACGTCGTTGTCGCGGCGGTGAATGGCGGCTGTTGTTGTGGATTGGGGTGTTGAATGTGTCTGTGAGTGAGGGTGTTAGGTGAGTGAGGGTGTTGTATCCGTGTGTACGTGTGTGGATTTGCATTGTCTACGTGTGTGTGTGGCGGAGAGCGATTGTTTGATTGGGGCTACGGAAGCGCACCTAGCCTGGCACAAACGCGTCACCGTCACGTAATGGCGAGTGGCGGGTGCTGTTGTGGATTGGGGATTGAGTGTGTGTGTGTGTCTGGCTGTATGTGTGAATGTCTTTGTAGTCTCGATGTGCCACCTAGCCTGGTACAAACTCCCTAGCGTCTTCATGTCTCGTAGTGAGGAATGGCGGCTGTTGAGTGAGAAGGGTTGGAGTGTCTGTCCGTGTGTCTGTGTGAATGTGTCTGTGTGTGTGTGTCTGTGTGAGTGTGTGTGAGTGTCTGTCCGTGTGTCTGTGTGAGTGTCTGTCTGTCTGTCCGTGTGTCCCTGTGTTAGTGTGTCTGTGTGAGTGTGTCTGTGTGTTCGTGTGTCTGTGTGAGTGTCTGTGTGAGTGTGTCTGTCCGTGTGAGGAGTGTGTGAGTGTGTCTGTGTGAGTGTGTCTGTCCGTGTGTGTCTGTCCGTGTCTGTGTGAGTGTGTGTCTGTGTGTGTCTCTGTGTGAGTGTGTCTGTCCGTGTCTGTGTGAGTGTGTCTGTGTCCGTGTCTCTGTGTGAGTGTGTCTGTGTCCGTGTCTCTGTGTGAGTGTGTCTGTGTCCGTGTCTCTGTGTGAGTGTGTCTGTGTCCGTGTCTCTGTGTGAGTGTGTCTGTGTGTCTGTGTGAGTGTGTCTGTGTGTCTGTGTGAGTGTGTCTGTCCGTGTGTCCGTGTGTCCCTGTGTTAGTGTGTCTGTGTCTGTCCGTGTGTCTGTGTGAGTGTGTCTGTGTGTTTGTGTGTATGTGTGAGTGTGTCTGTCCGTGTGTCCGTGTGAGTGTGTCTGTGTGTGTCCGTGTGTCTGTGTCCGTGTTTCTGTATCCGTGTGTCTGTGCGTGTGTCGGTGAGTGTCTGTGTGTGAGATTGTATCTGTGCTAGCACCTGCCTGGGTATTTTGTACCATCGGACACTCCCTCCACCCCCACAACTCCCAATCGGTGATGGGGCAGTTGTGGAGAGAGTGGAGAGTTTCCCATACCTGGGCAAGTGTGCTTATGACCGGCTCCAGTTTAACAGCAGAGGTCTCACTCCGAATCAGTCGAGCGGCAATATATTTTCATCGGTTGCGTAACACTGTGTGGAAGCTACCTGGTCTGTCGCTCCGCACTAAGCTTCAGGTCTTCTCGGCCACGGTCATTCCCTCCCTTCTCTACGCTTGCGAAACGTGGACCTCCCTAATGGAACATCTTCGCCAGTTAGAAACATTTAGGCTAGCCTGCCTACGATCCATCCTGGGTTTAACCAGGCTGGATTGTGTGAGGAGCTCACAAATCCTTGAAAGATCTGGGCAAGGTCCCATCGGTGAGCTCCTCCGGCAGGCAAGGCTGTGTTGGCTAGGTCATGTAGCCCGCATGCCCAGCCACCGCATGCTGAAACAGCTTTTGTTCGGCCGGATCGAGGGGGCTAAACGGGCGCGGCACGGGCTAGAGAAGAGATGGAGTGATGTGGTACAGGAGGACGTGGAGCTGAGTGGACTTGCCGATGACTGGTACTAGCGGTGTCAAGATCGGCCTCTGTGGATGAGGCTCGTGAAGGACGCTACTGGGCAGTTGGAGGCAGTCGCCCTCCAACAACAACGGAGGGCGGAGGAGCGACGCTCACAACAACGAGCGGAGCGCCGGGTGGCTAAAGCACAGCAGGTTGGCACAGTAGGGGGCACAGGTGGTGCATCAGCCAGTCATCTCAGTCAGTCGACCCGTGGCACCTGGGTCTGCCCCGTGACCTCCTGCCAGCCGGCGTTCGACACTTCACGTGGCCTCAAGGTGCACATGGCCTGGCACCCGCGTCGTGGTGACGTCACCACCACTTAGTGGCAAATGGCAGTTGTTGTTGTTGTGCTAGAGACCTCCCCTTGGTCTACTCGGCCAAGTGCTGTTAGCGAGCACCTATGAAGGACAGTACGACAGTGTCCACAATACTGTACCACACCCGACCGCCTTTGTCTCCCCAGTGCTGTGTAAACATCACCACTGTGTAAACATCACTACTCGGGAGACAAAGGCGGTCGGGTGTGGCCACTGTCGTCTTGCCTTTATAGGTGCTCGCTAACAGCACTTGCCCTGACAGTCTGTTAAGGCTATACGGGGGATGTTTTATTCGTGCTAAACAGTTTTTTGTGTGTACGTACGTGTGAGTATTTGTGGTGTTTGTGTGGGTCAGTGTGTGTGTGTACTCTCTGTGTGTACTCGAAAGGGGAAGCTGCAGTGTTGTAGGGGTTAGGGTGCTGCGCTGACGGCCAACACCAGTGACGATTTTATGAACCGGTCCTGGGCCTCCCCTTGGTCGACTCAGCCTCAAATGAGTACCTAGTGCGCGTGTGTCAACATCCTCACTGGGGAGACAAAAGCGGCCGGGCGTGGTATTGGCCACCCATCCCCTCGTGTGCCGTGCCCGACCTTCATAGGTGCCGCTCGCTAACAGCACTTGCACCTTTGTTCTCTATAAGTGCACCTAGACTGGTACAAGTTCTGTGGTGACGTCACCGTGACTTCGTCGCGAATGGCGGATGTTGTGGATTGGTTTAATGTGTACGGAAGGCTTTGTCTGGGTGAGTTTGTGTTGTATGTATGTCTGCATGTTTGAGTGTCTGTGTATGTGTTGCGTGTATGTCTGCATGCTTGAGTGTCCGAGTTTGTGTTGTATGTATGTCTGCATGTTTGAGTGTCTGTGTTTGTGTGTTCTCTCCCTTACTGTATACTGTCTTTGTGTGTACAGGATCTGTATGTACGCATACATCTGTGTAATAATGCGTCTTGCTGCACTTTTGCCTTACTGCTCACATGTTTATTCTTGCTGTGTATATTTGTCTATTCTGTTTATATTTGTTATTTTTCATTTGTATGACTTTTATAATTGTGTGTCCGTGTGTGCCAATGTGTCCCTTGTCTCCCTGTTACTCTGTGTCTCTCTGGCCTGTCCGCGTGGTTGCGCATCTCTTCTGCCCCGAGATTCAGTCACCCAAATTAGAAGGCGTCTTTTTGTATCTTCAGATGACCTCGACTCGAATAACCATCTGCATGTCCTAATCGGCTCAAGCCTCGCGTAAATCACGTGACCTCTGTGTGTCCCACGCCCAGTCTGAATCCCTCCCCTCTTCTCCACCCACTGTGAAAACAGACGCCGATCTGCATAGCGCCAATTGTGCCGTTTGAGTTATGGTCGAAACGTCGTGAGAATTTTTTATTGTTTTATATATATTTTATTATTTTGTTGTTTCCCTTCAACGTGACTTTACCGAAAAAACTAAGAATATGAATTAGTGCAGTCACGAAAGCTTTAAATCAAAATTTAGCCCTTATGCTGTTGATGCTTGCGTAAGATTTATGTCGTGGATGTATCACATTTTCTTAGGTTTCGTAGAAACGGAAAAAAAAAGACTTTTAACGTCATGATCACTCTGCGCTCAAGTGATGTCACGTGAACGGACGTTTAATTAAAAAAGCATCGGGAGTTGTTTCACGGTGACATCACTGGAGTGCCATCATGACGCCTTCTACCGTAATGGGAAACGTACCGCGTTATTTGTGCATCCCTTTACGAGAAAAAAAACTCAGAACGAAAACCCGCAGAGTTCTCTCCGAGAAGCGCGGAGAGAGATGGGTCTCGACATGGCATAGAGAGACACACATTAGGAACACACGCTGATCATGACATCCAAACGATTGAGAATAGTGTAGCTTGGACAGGACACGGCACGGCAATGGAGGCGGGGGGAGGGGGTGGCGATCACTGGGAATGGACCAATCGATCAGGGCTGACGATGATGATTGGTTTAAAATAGGATGAAACATTCAACACAAGGATACACCATCTGGCCAGACGTATAAAATACAATCCTGCAATGTGGCACCTTTGTACCTGTACACTGTAGCCACGATCGCAGCCGTTGCGTAGTGTGTGTGTGTGATTCTGTCGGGGAGTGGGAGTGTAGTGGTTATCACGCTGCACTACGAACCCGATGGCTCGAGTTGGATTCCCGCACACGGCCAACACCGGTGACGATCATGTGAACTGGTCCTGATCCTCCCCAAGGTCGACTCAGTTTGGTGTGGTGTGTAAACATCACCACTGGGGAGATAAAGGTGGCCGGGCGTGGTGCTGGCCACCCACCCCCTCGTGTGCCACAGTGCCAGCCTTCATAGGTGCTCGCTCACAGCACTTGCCCCAACAGTCTGTTAAAGGCTATTCGGGGGGATCTTTGTCTTTGTGTCCGTCGGTCCGTCGTTAACGCATTAATAGCCGAGGTTGAGCCTCTCTGTGTGTGTGTGTACGGCCGGTCACCTTCCTGCGTACGTGACTGCAGTGGTGAGATAGCTGCCAAAAGCGATCCCTCTGAAAACCCTTCTCTTACATTTCCACATTTCTGCTGATTGTGCGTTTACCACACGCGCGTGTGTACGCACGCGCGCATGTGCGAGCGTGCGCACACGCACGCCTTTGGCGGTGTAACGCAACAAGTGACATCACTCTCGAGCGTTGGGAAAATTCGCAGCCAACCGAACAGAAACCGCAATACTATTTGCATCGCCTTATCTCTCGTCCCCCGCTCGTTTTAGATAATTTTGCAAACCACTTAAATGGCCTTCGAATCGCGGCATTGTTGTAAAAACT